CTTTTACAAACAGTTTGATATTATTCTCATGAAAAATTAGTTTACAGTTTAAGTAGAAATATTTATAAGTTAGCATAGTAATTCCCGTATTCCCTGTGGGTTCAATACTGAGATTTTTAAAAGAAAAATCTATATTACTTGAAACGATACGTATAGTTGCATAGTACTTCTAGTGTGTAAGTCATTAATCAATTTCATCACATTTTTATTTGCACACTAGCCGCTGAATATAAATTGGGTTAAGTTTACGACCATCATTCAAAACTTAAAATAATTGCGTAATTATTAGTCAGGTCAAGTTTTTGGCGTCGTTGTTAGGGAAAGACAGAATTTTTAGACTTAAACAATTTTTATTTGACTATAGATTTATTTTAGTAGAATTGTATTTTAATTTCTTTGTATGTATTTGTCTATTTTCTAAAAATATAAAAATAAAAAAAATTGAAAAAAATAAAAAATTCAAAAAAAATGAAAAAAAATATTTTTATTTTAAGTGTTTTATTTTTTATTTTTTGAACTTTTAATTTTGCATGTGTAGTGCAAGTTCTAAAGGTTTAGTGGCCTACAATTCTGAGAGAGAATGAACCACTAGAAAAATTCGAAAGCGAAAAGATCATAATTCTCAAGAAATGACAAACACATCGAAAAATAACTTTAACAACCAAACTGTTGAAAATAAATATCATAATTTACAAAGACCTTTAAGGAACCATGCAAACCCTAAAATAGATAAAATTCATTTAAGCATATGAACTCCGGCTGTAGGGCTAACTCATTTAAACTTAAACCTGCAATGATATAAAATAATCAATTTGGGGGAACACCATCTGAGGATCCAAACCTACTCCTAACAAGTTTTCTAGAACCATGTCCTATAATTAAATATGATGACAAGTCAAATGATGCTGTTAGACATAAATTTTATCCTTTTTCCTTATGGGATAAAACTAAGATGTGGTTATACTCATTAATACTTAGATCTATTAGAACTTGGGGGGACTTAGCACAAAAATTATTGGCTAAGTATTTTCCACCTTAACAAAGTGTTAGCACCTTAAAAAATTGCTAAACTTAGAAATGATATTACTTCTTTTGCTCAGTATGAAGGGGAGTCAATATATGAAGCTTAGGAATGATTTAAAGAACTCCTTAGAAAGTATCCACATCATGCCTTACAAGACTGGTTAATTATTCAAATACTTTATAGTGGGTTAGTAGGATCTCTTAGATCTATTATTGATGATGTTGCTGGAGGTTCATTAATACTAAAACCATTTGATGAAGCTTATGCATTAATTGAAGAGATGATTACGAATAATTTTTAATGGCCCCCTGAAAGCGTAAATCTAAGAAAGTAGCCAGTGTTCATGACAATGATGCAATTTCTATACTGACATCTGAAGTTGCTGCAATATCTAGGAAGATAGATTAATTTGGAATGAATTTTTCACAAACAACCCATGCCATAGAAGAAAATTCAATAGGCCACCTGTTTGATTCTCAACCATCATTAGAGACTTAAAACTCAATTAAAAATAGATTCAATAATCCATACTCAAACTATTACAAGCCAGGTTGGAAAAACTACTGCAAACTTGAATAATAATTATGGTGGTGGAAATTAGCAATGGGGAAATAATCAGGAAAACCAATTGGAAAATTAGAACAACCAAGGTAGTATTAGCTATAGGCCTTCTTATCCACTTGAATTTTCAAATAACCAACAACTTAAGGAGAATAAGTTGTTAATCGAAGAAATGGTGTTACAAATGAGGAAACAATTATAATGTCAAAGTTGTGCTATAAGAAATATTGGGAATCAACTGGGACAAATTGCTAATGCACTTAGCAATAGGCCTCAAGGAACACTTCCTAGTAAGATTGAAGTAAATTCTAAAGATAAGAACAAAGATCAAGAGCAAGTTAAAGCTGTCCAACTCAGGAGTGGAAGTGAATTAAATGTTGGAATTCAAAAGAGATTGAAGTTGAGGAGGAGAATAAAGAAACTGAAAAACATGAAGAAACTGTTGCTAAGGAGGTAGAAAAACCTATCTCTCAAACTAAGATCAATTTAGAAAGACCTCTACCTTCATTTCCTCAGAGACTTGGATAGAAAAAGTTGGACAACGATTTTTTCGAGATATTTTAAAAGCATACAATTAACATTCCTTTTGCTGAAGCCTTCAAACAGATGTCAAGTTATGCTAAATTTATGAAACTTCAAACTAAATTTATGAAAAAAAATTTAAACAAAAAGAGGAAGTTTGAAGATTATGAGACTATATCACTAAGTGAAGATGCAATGCAATAATTCAGAAAAAGCTTCCTAAAAAACTCAAGGATCCCGATAGCTTTACTATACATTGTTCAATTGGAGACAGATTTTATGGAAAAACTTTATGTGATTTAGGAGCTAGCATTAACCTCATGTCATTATCTATATTTAGAATATTAGGCTTAAGAGAGATTTCTTCTACTACTGTAACTCTCAGTTAGCTGATCGTTCTATCACTTATTCTAAGGGGGTTCTAGAAGTTGTGCTTGTAAAAATAGATAAATTTATCTTTCTTGTGAATTTCATTATTTTGGATATAGAAGAAGATAAGAAAATACCTATCTTTTTGAGAAGACCTTTCCTAGACACTGGGCGAGCAATGACAGATGTATAAAAATGAGAATTGACTATGAGAGTTAATGACCAGAAAGTTACTTCTAATGTGCTAAAATCTATCGAGCATCCAACTAAAAGAAAAGATGATAAATGTTACAGAATGAATACTATTGATTACTTAATTAATAGCCATTTCTGAGAGAGATATGAAGTCCAGATACATCAACAAGAACTGGAGGATGAAAATGAAACCGGTTTTTCAAATGAGATAAATATTGAGGATTCAAATTATGTTAAAGAAAGTTTTGAGATTTTAGATACTACTGAAATAGTAAACCTCTGATTCCTTCAATTGAAAAACCTCCTGAACTTGAGATGAAAGTGCTTCGTACTAATTTAAAGTACGTTTTTCTAAGAAATTCATCTGCATTACCTATAATAATATCCTCTGATTTAACTATAGATCAAGAAGAAAGATTAATGGACACATTGAAAAATCATAAGAAAGCATTTGGATGGGCATTAGCTGATGCTAAAGGAATTAGCCCTTCAACATGTATGCATAGAAATTTAATGAAAGATAATCATAAACCTAGGGCTGATCCTCAAAGGAGATTGAACCCTATCATGAAAGAAGTTGTTAGGAAGGAAATTTGAAAGTGGTTGAATACTGAAATTATTTATCATATTTCTGAAAGTGTTTTCTTAGTCCAACTCATTGTGTTTCTAAGAAAGGAGAAGTGATTGATACTGAAATTATTTATCATATTTCTGAAAGTGTTTGCTTAGTCCAACTCATTGTGTTTCTAAGAAAGGGGAAGTGACTGTAGTTGTAAATGAGCAGAATGAATTAATTCCAATAAGGTAAGTCACTGGGTGGCGAATCTATATTGATTATAGAAAATGAAACATTGCCACAAGGAAAGATCACTTTCCTCTACCTTTTATGGACATAGGTTAAGATGTGATGCAATGGCTTGGAACCGACAACGGAAGAGGGTAATTAAACATAGGTTAAGATGTGATGCAATGATTTCTCATATTCAGTTTGGATTTATGTTGAGAAAGTTTACTATGGAAGTTATACATTTATTGAAAGGTTTGATGAAGAAGTACTAAAAGAGTAAGGAGGATTGACCAAATATTTTTATGATTTTTATTGATTTAGAAAATGTTTACGATTAAGTTCCATGAGAAGTTCTTCGGAGAGTTCTTGAAAAAGAAGGTTTTGCCGTGACTTATATTTAAGTCATTAAAGATGTGTATATTAGATTTGTTACTTGTGTTCATAAAGAAGAAAGATTGACCAAATATTTTCCTATTTCAGTTGGATTACATCGGGGATTGGTCTTAAGCCCATATCTTTTTGCTTTAGTTATTGATGTTCTCATTGGACATTTATAGGAGGATGTACCTCGGTGTATGCCTTTTGTATGCTTTTTGTTGATGATATCCTTCTTGTGGATAAGATTAGAGAAAGTATTAAGGAAAAACTTGAATTATGGAGGTCTACATATTAGAGTCTAAAGCCTTCATTTGAGTAGACCTAAAATTGAATACATGGAATATAATTTTAGTTGTAGTAGCTCTAGTGACAGAGTTGTAATTACATGTGATCATTTAGTTGTAGTAGCTCTAGTGACAGAGTTGTAATTATGTGTGATCATATCATTAAAAGGTGTGAACATATTAGATATCTCGAGTCTATTGTTCAAATTGACCTACCATGCTTTATGTTGCAGAATATTGACCTTTAAAAGAGAAGCATAAAATAAAGTGTTGCTGAGCTGAGAATGTTAAAGTGGATGAGTGGATTGCACTTAGAGACAAAATGCAAAATGAATCTATCAGTGAAAGGATTGGTGTAGCTTCAACGACATAAAATTAGAGAGTCGTCATGAAAGGTTTGGTCACATTAAACATCGACCATTCGACGATCCGGTCAGGAGAGTAGATGTTATAAATTTGATTTATGTTAAGAAAGAGGTAGAATTAAAAAGAGTAGGGCATATTGTACAAAAAAAAAAAAAAATCTAAATCCATTAGAATTAAATGAAAATACAACACTCAATAGGACACAATGAAGAAAAAGAATTCATGCAACGGACCCAATCAAGGATTGATGTTGTTATTGTTGCAATAGGTTTTAAAATAATAATTGAATATCATGAAGGAATATAATATTAACCTGCAGTCTATCCGCACGTCAAAACTTCTCTTGCATATAATTTATCATATCATTAGGTAAATGTGAACATAAAGTAAATATGGATTTATATTACAAGATGCAACGAGAAAAAAAATAAGTCCGACTTTTCCTTGAAAAATTCATATTTAAATCAAATCCATAGATTTGAAAAAATAACAATCTTCTTCTTAACAACACTCAAAAAGATATTTGTCAAGCTTTAAACGTTAAATATGTCTTAGCAAAAGTCTTCAGAAAATAAATAAAATAATGTGCTACGCATTGTTTGAGTACTATTGCTAGTTCTATCAATCCTTCTTCTTTATCAAATCAGGACTACGAAGAAAAAACTACCAAGAGAGCTAACTAGTCCTTAAGAGTCATAATAGCTCCTCTGCCACGTTTAGCCAGACCCAAATAAAGAGTTATCAATTAAGCTTCAGCAGCGCCTGCTTTGATATGACCATTTGCTCTTGCATCCTGACCCCTTCCTTGATTAAGAGCTCTGTTCCGTCGCCTACCTATGAAAGCTAGAATTAATGAGATTATAATCCTAAGATTAGAGCGATCTTTAGTTCCGAGATATTTTCAGAAAAGAAAAATAATCATTCACGCAAATTAAGTTATTTCAGACAATCTTATTCTATGTGAAATGTCTTATACACCGTTGAGTGGGAATAAATACTCTACTATTTTAGGAGTATAGTATTAATGGGACTTTTACATACATATCACACAAATCTTACGTATTTATATATCTAACATCTAAGATTTAATTTGCATTCAAAGCATTCAAATCTTTAACATTGCTTCAAGAAAATCACTTTTTCTAACCTTTTGAAGCCAAATACATTTTTTTATATATAAGTTTATAGCACAAAGACGTTATAAAAGCAAATGTCAAGCTTTAAATGTTAGATATGTAAATCCATAAGAATTGTGCGGTGTGCATGTAAATTTACCTAAATTAATATGCAAAAAGTACGGGCAGGTTTCCCTAATAAGTCTATTATTGTTCAACAGACGCCATTACCTTGTCCCTTCAAAGGAGCAGGAGGTTCCTCCAAATGAAAATTTACTTCCAGCTGATGGAATAAACAACCTCCAAAATCATGACCGCAGCCACGGCCTGAACCACTCCAGCGAAATCGACGGTCCTTATTGTCCCCGCCTCCATTACCATAATGCACAATAACAGGTCCTATTCCTGTTACAGAAAATAAAACAAATCATTTCATTGATTGTACTAAATCCTAGAAGGGACCTTTAGAGCATCAAAATGGCACCTATGCCCCTTCCTCTACTCCGATTGCTTGCAGTTTTAACTCCTTCATTGTCATATTGAGCGGATGGTTTCATCTGTTCTGCACTTAAAGGAGATTGGTATCTACAAGCAAAATTAATGTGTAATTAACATTTGCATAAGGTCAAAACGAATAGTTTGGCCGTAATGCAAATTGAAAATAGCTTCTAGAGATTTATCACAATTTCATCCATAAATAAATAAATAAAATTTACCACAAAAAACATCTTATAAGTATTGAAAAATAGGTGCCATGCTTGGTTTCATGATGGAATAAATATAAAAGAAGTCGAGTGCTAACAGTAAAATAGTCAATAACATGTAACAGAGAGAGAGATGAAAATCTGCTTGATATAAAACATTGGGAAGAAATTTTCCTGATTAATTTCGGTGATTATATGAATATTGAGTGGGCCAAGAAATAAATTAATAGGAGAAATGCATCAAACTATAACTACAACTGAAATTTATATTTCTAAAAGGATGGAAGCTGTAAAAGTAGCACTTACCCAACAGAAGAGTTATCAAGCTCCTGCTTAGAGAGTGTTATTGTGATGATTGGCACATGCCTTGTAGTTTCCAGTCTGACAAAACAACAAAAAATTTGAATCACAATATATGAGAGGGTCAAAAAGGGAAAGACACTTAATGATCTACAAAATAATCAATGAAAAAAAATATATTATAAAATAGTTTTCACAGCAGATGCTCCCAATAATGAAAAATTTAGGGGAGATTTGGCAACTTTTGAGATTTAACTCATAGAATTTAGTAAATCCTGCAAATCCGTATTTAGTAGAAATGCATTTTTAACATATCAACTTACGGAAGTAAGCCTTCCTCCAATGGCTCCCATGAATCAGTTATTTCTATCGATCCTATGGCAGTATTTTGATGAAGACCATCAATCCTTCTCTACAATGCCATAGCAAAAATATAGTATATAATAATATCAGCTGACGCACTAGCTTCCATGATTTTAGTTCAACATAACGATTGAAAAAAATTGATAATCTCAAGGGGTAAAATCAAATGAAAATTGTTTAGGGACATTTACAAACTTACCAACCAATTCCTATATATCTACATTTTTAATTTTTGACAGTTATGCCGCCCAAAATCTCTCAAATCACATCAAAAATAACATTATGGTAGCATTTGAAAAGTGATATACACCTTTTCATGCTTGGGAAAGGAATCATAAATGTAAAAATTGATGTTTAGGTGTTAAATGGGTAAACACATAAGAATTGAGTGACATGCATGTAAATCTTCCAATTGTTTAAAATAATACCTTCATCAGCTCCGCAATCAAGACAGTCTTATTAATGGCTCTCCCCATTGCATTGAAGACAACTTTATTTGAGCCTTTTTCCTTAAAGCCCAATGGAGAAATTGCCATTAACAAATAATATTATAATATTAACGCTTTAGGAAAAATTGCAAAAAAATAAAAAATAAGTTCAAACATAACCAAAATAACCCAAAAGCATGATTTAAAAAAGAAAAAAAACATCTTCAATATTAAAAACTTTAAGCTGCGATTTCCATCTCTTAGTAATGGATTTACAAACAAGAGATTATTGCAATTTATATTCAACCTCATGCCAGATAAAATAACCAAGATACATAACTTATCAAAGTTGTTTGGTTTCTTGAAGTTCAAAAATTTGATAAACCATATCAATGCAATCGAGATTTTGCATTTAGTCCCACTCCTTGGTGTAATAAATCGAAGTCATTAACCCTGACACATAGGATTAAGCTTTTGGGTTAAAAAAGAGTTTAACCCAAGTGTACTGGCCCAACATTGATCCCCTTTAGTTTCAACGTCCCTACGTAAATCCATCATTTGATTGAACGTAGTTACAAATCAATATTTATTTCATAACAAACTTCCTCAAAATCAACATAGGTTTCATTTATACTCATGAAATGAGGGGAAATGACTTTAAAATTTCTAAAGCATGTTTTTTTAGGTACAAGCAATCAAAGAGCCCTAAAGGTAAAAAGAACACTTCAACTTATCTGCCAGATGCACAACATCGCAGCATGAGAAAAGAAAGCAACGGAAATGAACCACCATCATGTCCATTGGTTTCTGCTATTTCCTTCCGGGGTCATCAAACAGATAATCATGAAATCATAGCATTTTGTTTAAAAAAAGGAAACAATTTCAATTTATTGAAGTCAAATCATGATTTTTTTGTGCAACCCAATCAATGAAAAAAAATTACTACAAAATAATTTTTGACAACCGTTGATCCTAGCAATGTTAAATTTAGGGGCTATTTGGCAACTTCTGGGATTTATCTCAAATAGAATATAGTAAATCTTGTAAATTTGAATTTAGTAACACTGCCGTTGCCGGTCCCAAGCCCGGATGAGAAAAGTGGAGGGTTGCGTTAGGTAGTCGACAGCCAGCGTAAAACTTGTCGAAAAAATCATGACATGAATCCTTTTGATCATTGTGTAAGTGCTAGGGCGTCCCCTGGAAGCGACGCGCTGTATAGCCTGAATACAGTGAAAAGTGTGCAAGGGCCGCTACACCGGCGCCCGGGTGTAGTGTTAAATAAGCAAGGACGGGCAAATGCGGGTAAAGAAGTTAGTCCATGAAACTAATGAAACTAATATTAGGATAGGATCTTGGAATATCGGCACTCTCAATGGTAAATTAATGGAATTAGTTGATATTATGATTCATAGAAAAATTAATATCTTATGTATTCAAGAAACTAAGTGGGTTGGAGAAAAGGCTAAGAAGATTGTTAATTTAGGTTTTAAACTTTGGTATTCTGGTAAGAGTCGCATTAGAAATGGTGTAGGGGTAATTATAGATAAGAGTTTGAAAGATAATGTTGTAAAAATTAATAAAGTCGGTGATAGAATCATAGCCCTTATGATTATCATTGATACTAAGATTTTTAATATTATAAGTGTTTATGCTCCTCAAGTAGGTTTAGATACAGAGTCTAAAAATAAATTTTGGAATGAGTTAGAAGATTTAATACAAATGATACCTCATGAAGAAAGAATTTTTATTGGAGGAGATTTAAATGGACATGTCGGTAGAGTGGTAGAAGATTTCAGAAATATTCATGGTGGCTACGGTTTTGGAGTAACTAATGAAGAAGGTAAAGTTATTTTAGATTTTGCTTTAGCGTTTGATTTTGTTATTACTAATACTTTATTCAAGAAAAGGGATGAACATCTTATTACTTATAAGAGTAGATTTAATAAAACATAAATTGATTATTTTCTTATGAGAAGAAGAGATCGTCGTGATTGTAATGATTGTAAAGTCATTCCAAGTGAAAATTTAAATACCCAACATCGTTTATTAGTTTTAGATTTTAAGATTAAGAGTTGTAAAATAAAAAATACTAGGACTCATCATTGCAGAATTAGATGGAGAAACTTAAAAGATACAAATAAAATTAATTTTATGAGTAAAATTCAAGATTTCAAAA